TCCAATAAACCACTAGAAAACTGGAAGTGGTGCTGTGGCTCTAGCAGTAGAGCGCTAGCCTAGAGCTGAAGATCGCAGGGACAGTGCTCAGGCCCAGAATTCAAGCCCTATGACTGATCAAAAAGAAAGAAAGGAAGAAAGAAGGAAAGAAAGAAAGAAAGAAAGGAAGGAAGGAAGGAAGGAAGGAAGAAAGGAAGAAGGAAGGAAGGAAGGAAGGAAGGAAGGAAGGAAAGAAAGAAAGAAAGGAAGGAAGGAAGGAAGGAAGGAAGGAAGGAAGGAAGGAAGGAAGGAAGGAAGAAAAGGGAAGGAAAGAAGGAAGGAAGGAAGAAAGAAAAGAAAGAAAGAAAGGAAGGAAAGAAGGAAGAAAGAAAGAAAGAGAGAGAGAAAGAGAAAGAAAGGGGAAGGAAAGAAGGAAGGAAGGAAGGAAGAAAGAAAAGAAAAGAAAAAAAGCTGTAGGTGTTTAGAATCCAAGCCTTTTCCCAGACAGCCTGTGTTCCCACCACTGTCCACACCTGTAATAAGGCATCAGACATGGGTACAGAGAGCACTATTGGAAGTTATCAATGTCCCTAAATTATCCCCAAGGACTGATGGTAGAAATGTCCTCTAGTCAAGGAATATCACTGGTGTATTCAACTAGAAGCTGGGATGAAGAATGGAAGGTTGTGCATGGGGAGTGCTTTCTACGGGATGGGGCAGAGGGAAAGGATCAGGTTTGATGAAGGACCAGACTACAGTTGAATGGAGGGTGGAAAGCAGAAGTAGACAACCTGAAATACTGTCCAAGACATGAATCCTGTTGTCCTCTGTGCAGATGACTTTTCTGAGGAGGAAGAGCTACTGAGCAGGAAGATGATGAAGTACTGGGCCAACTTTGTCCAGAATGGGTGAGATAATACACGTAACCCTGCCTCCCACGAGTGGAGTCCACCTAGTGATCCCCTTGTGGCATCCTCATGGCACACATGATCCTTAATTACATAAAAGCTCTCCTTCAAACCCCGCAAGTTGCTCACACACAGAGAGTGCTTTGTAGGTTCAAGTCACTCTCTCTTGCCCCAGAGATCTCAAAGGTAGACCACAGTTTTATGGAAACACCAGCACTCACCTCTGTGAGGTGGCTCTCAGCCATGTAGAACAAACACTAGGGGGAGGGCCTTGTTTTCCTATATCAGAAAAGTTTTCCACTTCCTTTCTACTCCTGACTTTTTGGGCTACCTGGCATGACCTAATGAGGCAGTTGGTCCAGGCTCACAAGGACTCCGAATGACCCTCACCACTCTCTTGGAAGGATGTGTCCACAGGAACCCCAACAGCGAGGACCGGCTCCATTGGCCCATGTTTGACCAGAATGAGCAGTACCTACAACTGGGTATCCATCCTGCCGTGGGCCAGTCCCTGAAGGCCTCCAGGCTAAAGTTCTGGACCAAGACCCTGCCCCAGAAGATCCAGGAGCTCAGAAGGGTTAAGGAGAAGCATGCAGATTTCTAGTGGTCTAGGTCAGGAGGAGTGGGCTTGAGTGCAGGTAGGGTCAGGAGGTGCTCATAGGTTTTCCATGAAATAGGAATTGACTCTAACATTCACTTAGCTGTTCATCCCCTGTTTATCCAGCCAGCCAGCCACTCAACCAGCCAATACTCCCTGCCTGAGCACTCTCTTGTTAGACATACTCAATAAATGCCCCATGGTAATGAAACAGTATTACTCCAGTGGTGCGTACTCTCCTCCATGCCCCACTGAGCCTGGGCCCCTTCCTTACTCATCTCATCTTCTCAATTTCTGTCTGCTCCAAGTCCCTAGCCCATCTTCAAATGAAGATGGTCTGAACACTTTACTCCTAGCATGGGTCAAAATCACATGTAGAATCTTCAGTAAGCACCATTTTTTTCTAACTTCTAACTAGCCAACAGTTAAAACAATTTGATTTCGAAGTATCTCTAACACACACACACACACACACACACACACACACACACACACACACACGCATGTGCAGAAAATCCTTTGTTATGGATTAATTTATATGCAATTAAATTTACCCACATTCACTCCCATATCATGTGTTAAAATGTTTCTTTCATGCAAATGAATTCTTTCCTACTCTTTACAATTAACTACCTCTTCCTTAGCATTTTGCAAACACCTGATTGTGTTTGCTTGTTTTCTATTCCAGTACTGGGACTTGAACTCAGGACTTTGCCAGCTCACTTGGCTTTTTCTGCTCAATGCTGGATTGCTAAAACTTGCACCAACCTCTACTTCCGGCTTTCTGCTGGTGAATTGAACAAAAGAGTCTCAGCGATGGATGACAATGTTATCAGACACTTTGTGTTCATATGCCAATTGTAGAATGGGAACTTCTTTGTACAACTACTCAAAGGTAATAATTTTTTTAAATGAGTCTCAGGAACCTTTCTACCCTAGCTGGCTTTGAACCTTGATCTTCAAGTCTCAGCACCCTGTATTGCTAGGATTAGAAGTAAGAGACACCACTGCTTGGCCCAGTTGTTTTTACTTGCTGTTGAGATTATATATAATTTAGGGCAAAATAACAGTGCAGTGTAGCATACAATACAAACTGAATTATTTCTGACTTGTGTCTCTCATACTTTCTCTCTGTCTGTCTTTGGTGTCTCTCTGGGCCTATGCCTATGTCTGTTTGCCTCTCTGTATCTATCTCTCTTTTTTCCTCTCTCTCATTCTCTCTGTGACTCTCTCTTGCTCCATCTTTGTCCAGATCGCTAGGGATATGTAAGATTTCATCAATTGCTCAAAGATACAGAAATGCTACTAATGTTTTTATTATTAACAAGGTTATTGTGGGTGCCAGGGTCTCTGAATGATGGTGCAAGAAGAGGCAGGGCACCCGGGATTTCAGCCTTTCAGTGGGCACCACAGCCATGGTATTAAGAGGAAGACGTGATTTCCAGCGAAATTCACAGAATTTATTCCTGGACCTGAACATCAAGGACCTATATACACTCTTAGCTCCCCAGTCAGAGGCTGATTAGTTTAGGAGAATGAAGGTCAGAGAGAGCTGTTGAATCTGTGCAGCCAAATGCCCTTTTCCTGGGATTCTAGACCACTGTTTGGGTTTATACATACTCCAGCCTCAATTTCTCCCCTTGTCTATGAGCAATGTTTATTCTTTACTGTATCAAGTATGCAGCATGAGTGGTTGGTGGTCACAGTGAAGTTCAGGGCCAGAGTTCTCATGTTGCCAAAATCTCTCACACAGACAAAATGGAGGTCAGTGGTATGTCTTTAGACTTGGAAAGATATTGAGAAACTGATAACAATTGTGTCTACTGGGGGTTGCTATCTTGGCTTCAGCCATACCAGGTGATATGAAACTTTGTGATCCACAAATACCTTCTGGAGAGTGCTTAGGGGCAGGAGAGTTACTTTTCTTATGGAACAGGTCAGATTTGTGAATTTCTGATCAACCTCTACCAGAATGCATGGGTTGAGCCATACACGGTAGCCTGTACCGAACTCTTAAGAGACTGAGAATTGAGGATTGCAGTTTGAAGCCAGCCTCTACAGGAAAGTCCATAAGATTTTTCCCTCCTGTTATAAGCAGGAAAAAGCTGGCAATAGGGCATCAGCTCCAGTAGAGTGCAGCACTAGCCTTGAGTGAACAAGCTAAGGGACAGCTCTCAGGTCCTGAATTCACACTCCAGTACCAACACACAGACACACACAAATACACACACACACACACACACACACACACACACACACACACACACCAAAAACAGGGGCAGAAGTACCACATCAGTTATTCTTGTCTGCCTTTACTGCATTAGTCTAGCACTCCCATGAACCCACTACAAAACCCTAGCCTATAAGCAGGAGTGAATCATTAAGCTCTGGCTACTGGCTCTGCAATATACACATGCTGTTAATGATCCATTTCTTTGTCTATTCTCCAAACTGTCTGTGAGTTTACCAAGAGCATCTGCCCAGGTCTGGGTAGAAGTGTCTGGGACGATGTCTTGGGTCTCAGTTCCTGAGACTGGAGATCTTGAGTGTGCAGCAGACCTTGTGGCTGGAATGAATGTCAGAGGATCTTTAGCAAGTCATTCCAAGGGAAATGAGCCCACCAGGAAAGGTACAAAGAACGAAAGCCAGTGGTGCCAGACTGTAGGTTCCCAAGAGAAATGTGCACCAGATTGAAGAGTCAAAGCTCTTTTTCACTCTCACCAGCTCCTCTGGGAAGTCAGGCTGGGCTGCAGCTCCTGGCCCCTGCTGTCTCAATGAATCCTAGCAGGATCTATGTGTTTCACAAACTCCCGATTACGGAGCCAGCTCCAAGATCATCAGAGGCCCAGAGAGCCTGTTCTCCTCACAGTGCTGCAACCAGCAAGTTCTCTTTAACTGGTTTTCAAGTAGATAAATGAGTTCCCTTGATCTCAGCCACCAGCTTAGCCCCAGATTGGAGATGGGTGAATAGGGAAGTGGGTCCTTCAGAAATGCCACAGTGACAAGCATGTTTGAATGGTTAGTCATTTTTAAACAGGAACGGATCCATGAAACCCCTCAGATCAAGACTCTGAGTGATGAGGAACCTTGAGGGAAAATTGGTAATCATTGAACAATGAGTTAAAGAGAAATTTCAAAATGAGCATAGTCATAGCTCCCTGTCTCTGCTCAAGTACTCACCTTTGCCCCTGTGAGGTGGGGGCATTGTGCATACACTGTGGGATCCTGAGCAAGCTTCTCTGCAGACCAGCCCTGAATTTCTCCATTACAACCTTCACCACACTGACAGTTCCCAATATCTCAGGAGCTGCTGAAGCTACACAGCACATCTGGAGGATGACAAAAGAATATTGGAGAAGAGAAAGGCTCACAACCAGTGGACTGACCCCTGACTTCCGGTGACCATGCCCCATCAGTGTCCCTCTCTTGCAGGAACAACCTTGCCCAGCCTCTCCTATGTCCCCGCCTACTCGCTGTCAGGTCCAAACTCCTGGCTGGGTAAGGTCTAGGTGAATTGTGCCTGTTGGTGAGGTGCAGTGTGCTGCATAGAGGCACAGAAAGAGTCCTGTGAGTCAGCCATGCTGCTGGACCAACTTGCTGCTGGGATGATTGCAGTGGTCTATGGATTCCTGCTTCTTCCACTCCTGATCCAGGGTGAGATTCCTGCCATGGGGAGGGAAAAAGGCACCAGGATGAGATCTGTCACATGGTGTAGAGCAGAGTTTGAGTTTGGGAAAGAAAAGGAAAAAGGGGGTGGGGGGAGGGGGAGACAAGGATTGGGACTGGGAGGGGAGAGGGGAGGCTGAGAAGAGATGTGAAGGGTAAACAAAGGAGGAGGCTGCAATGCTTGGTAAGAAATGTACGCATTATCCTGCCCATGTAATTGTAACCCCTCTGTATAGTATATTCACAAATAAAATAAAATAAAAAATAAAAAAACAAAAAGAAAAAGAAAAGGAAAAAGGGCAGGTGGAGATGACCGATAATAGTGTTGGATAATTGTACTATTTAAGCATTCAAAAATGCTCACAGTGGTGATCAGATAGCTCAGAGAGGCTCACAGATGCTTGAGGATACAGAAGAGTGAGCCCCAAATGGAAGAGTCTGAGGTCCACTGACATGTGCCAGGCAGAGTCAGGGATTCTGGCCATTTCCCTCCTCTGTGTGTAGGAGCAGTTACAGCTGTAACTGCTACTGACTCTGCTGTCACTCACACTATCCTCTGTTTCATCCCCAGAGAAGCTTCCTGGCATAGTCCAAGAGACACCAGCAAACGTTTCTGGTTCTGGTAGAGCTATACCTCCCCAGAAACACAACATGAAGTTGAGCTAAGATGCCACTGGGTTTCTTTCACCTAGGTATCATTTCTGGCCAAAGGCTTGGCTTGCCTTCTATGACAAAGGGTATGTGCCAAATGCGTACCATAGACTGGCCCTTCTCAGGAGCTTATGCCACCAGACAACTATATCTAGAAATGTATGTTCCACCTCTGATTCCCCTCACCACAGAACATGCTAGGGTAGGCCCTGATGAGCTCCCCTACCCTCTCCTATCTATTCTTCCCTAAGAAGTTCCCCTCACCCTCATCCATGGCCCACTTCTACCAAATTCTCTCCCTTATGTGCTGTTGATCAGGCTCTGGCTAGTGAATCTGAATTAGGAATTCCATGATAACAACTGTTTAAAACAGGAGGAGCTGGTTGTGCAAATGGTGCCATCCAGACAACACAGGGATTTAAATCTAAATCAAGGACCACATTTTTTTTTACATTTTTTTTATTGTAAAGATACTATACAGAGGGTTACAGTTACATGAGTGAGGTAATGAGTACACTTCCTCTTGAACATTGTT